ACTGCTGCTGCACATTCTGTTTGGGGGTTTGTCCCCAATCACTAACAAAGGCGATCACTAAATGAGGACAAATACAGGTGATCCTTGTTCAACAATCATTCATTCAGTGACAATTTGAGCTTGCAACAGTGCTGAGTGGTTGTTACCACCAGTCTTCGAAGTTACAGTCATCACAGCATCTCAGTGGTCATGTGGTCACAATTTCTGACATTCTCTGCTGATTTCCTTGAAGCTGGTAGGAAGTCAGAAGTTACAGTGATATGAGGTCCTTGCTTAAGAACTTCTATCATATTTACTTGACTTCAAAAACTAGAATTGCTGGAGCTACCATTGCTACATGGCACAATCACATGACGTCATGCTTTATGTCTACTTAATGATAGAAATTCTGGTCCTAATTAACTCATTAACGGAGGATTTTGTGTAATTATGTATTATTACATAAAATAAAACAGTGAGTGTGAGAGGTAGGATAAGCCAGATAGCAGATTGAAAACTGCTGCCTTCCTGATCCATGGTCCACCCACTTCATTTTGCCAAAATGCACTGCTTCACAACTGTGAAGTTTTCCAATCGTGGCTCTGACATGCAATCAGAATAGCATTTCTATGTAGCAATTAGGAGGAAATGGCCAAAGCGTGGGTCTTGCATCAGATAGAAGATGCATGGGAAAGTATGGGAGGGGATGGCAAATTGTCTTCCCAGTTCAGACAACCTTGGGCTCCTAAGCTAGGCAGCCCAAAGCCATCCAGATTTTAAAATGGATAAAGAAATCCATGTTCTTTCTACCTCTCCTCCTCCCCTCCCTAGTTTTCTAATTTCCTCTCCTTTTTGCCAACCTGTTTTAGAGAAGGGCAACCAACTCTTGCTAAAATCCTGAATAAATCTCTTAGACAGAGATTAGAAATTAAGACCAAACCCATAACTTCTTATGGTAGATGTCAAGGGCTGCACGTAATATGAGTTTGTGGGCTGTACACCTTTCTCTTTTGAATACTGGATTGGGATCCAGGAATATTGTGCAACCTTGGGCAACTAAAGAAATCATCATTGGGCAATTGAATGATTATATCTTAAATGACTCTACAGAATTGCTACTTTGCTTCAACATTCAAGAACAGCAGTTTTCCTCCCTCCCTCCCTCTCTCCCTTCCTTCCTTCCTTCCTTCCTTCCTTCCTTCCTTCCTTCCTTCCTTCCTTCCTTCCTTTTCTATTATAATCTTTAATAGAGTTTTTTTTAAAAAAAGAGCAGCCATATCTAAATGTCTTTTAATGAAATTAGTTTAGTCAAAGCTCTTTTAGAGCAGTGGTCCCCAACCTTTTTTGTGCCACGGCCCGGTACCGGCATCACAAAATGATCCGTGGCCCGGTACCAGCATCAGCATGCATGGCAAGGCAAGCTGAACGACCGGCCAGCCAGCCGTCCCCCGCTTCTCCCTGCCACCTTCAACTCCTCCTTTGTACCTTTGTTGATGGGCTTCGGGACAGTCACTCGGCTCGCCTTGCCTTGGGTGCTGAAAGAATCCTCGCGCCTTAGTTTTGTTCGAAGCCGCCCCCTACTTCGATGAAACTAAGGCACGAGGATTCCTTCAGGACCCAAACGCCGCTTTCCAACCAGAAAAGCTCACTGGAAACACTTTCTCATCAAAACAAGATGGCGACGCCCAGCAAACCGGCGGCCCGGTAGAAAATGTTCCACGGACCGGTACCGGTCTGGGGCCCGGTGGTTGAGGACCCCTGTTTTAGAGGACATTCATTCTACCACTCACGATCTCTATTGTTCAGGAGCATTTATATCTAAGAAACTGGATTTTGGGTTATTACTTGGGAATGCTTCAAAGTTAAAGTAAAAAGCTGACTGTGCTTTTTGTTTATTTGTTGCAGTCCTGCAGAATCTAAAATATATTAAAGGAGACTGGAGGAAATTAACTGGAATTTCTGTAGTCAGAATTCTGTAGTCAGATGTGAATTTCAGGGGAAAAGCTTCTTTGAGATGATCACCCTATAAGCACCTCTATCTTTTCCTAGTCCTGTATGGCCACCTTCTGCAGCTATACTGGGAAAGCTATCCTACACAATCCTGGGAAAAGAGACATTTGGATCTCTAAGTAGGAATTTCTTGAATGTTTCGCTAAACCAGGCATGGGCGTGGCCAGCACGTGAGGCATCTGGCCCATGGGCCAGGAGTTTCACAGCCCTGCCCTATATGCAGAGCATGTAAGCATTCTTCTTCAAAAATCTGCCACTATGTTTGGATAACAAATCCCCCATTCCCAATTGTTTTTTTACCTTCTTCAATCTGTTCCTGGTCAGGTTCGCTATGAAGGGAGGCAGCAAAACTAGGGACTAGAATTTTGAACAGGAAAAGAAGACATAAAAAGCTCCGCATGGTAGATCCTGTAGAGAGAACAGAAGATAGTTGCCAAAGGACTAGATTAAAAGGCTGCTAAAATATAGCACTCCCCACCAATATGTACACACTGATAAAAAGCCTCCCAGCCCTCAGTTTCACTGGGTGGAGGGATAAATGTAAACTTTGTCCTAATCAATAAAGTGGTCAGTGCAAGGGTCAGTTCAGATCTGAGTCAAAAACAAACCATCCACAGAATATTGAGGAGCTGGCAAAACTTTGGGGCTGGAGTACCCAGGAAATTTTGGAAATAGATGGACTCTTCACTTAGATGATCTGTTAGTTTTTTTCAACCTCAGCAACTTTTAAGATATCTGAACTTCAACTCCCAGAATTCTGCTGTCCAGAGAATTCTGGGAGTTGGAAGCCTCACAACTTAAGTTGCTGAAGTTGATAAATTCTCTGGGGTGTTAAAATAAAGGCAATCATTAGGTGGAAACAAAGAGTTTTCTGTCTATTGATTTGCTGCTTTCTTGTGGTCAATACAGATTTTTTTTGTTTTGTTTGCAACAGAGTTCATTATTCCTGCAAAGCCTCTATTTATTGAAAGGCAAATGGGAGGTTATCCTCTGGTCTACTTTCAACCACCCTACACTAAGTTGTAAGACTAAAGACTAAAGTTTAGTCTTACAGACTAAACAGACTTACAACTATTTAGCAGCCATTCAAACTTACAAAGGCATTGAAAAAAGTGACATACTACTGATTCCTCATGCTTACCACCATTGCAGCATCCCTATGATCATGTGATCAAAATTTGGGCACATGGCAACCAGCATGTATTTATGGTTACAACATCATAGAGATCATCTGATTGCCCTTTGCAACCTTCCCAGCTGGCTTCTTAGAAGCAAAGTCAATGGGGGAAACCAGCTCTGCTGAGCAACCACATAATAGAGTCACAAAATAGCTGCAGAGATTTGCTTCAGAATCATAGCAAAAAGCTCGTTCAATCAGGTGCAATTTACTTAATAGCTGCCTTGCTTAGCAATTGAAATTCTAGTCCCAATTGTCATATGTGGACTACCTGTAATTAGTTCCTCCCCATCCCTCATTTTTCCAGGAAAGCAAAGAATTGTGGTTATTGGTTCTTTATTTTTCAGAGCCTGAGAGCTCTGTGTGGGACCTGAAGGAAGGAATGCTTGTAAAAAAAACAGACTGTGTCAATTAACAATGCTGCAGACAGAGTGGGCTTTATGTTGAACAATTCTAGATTTCATCTTTTAAAAATTAAATCCATATTTTTAATAAATAAGGTTATGCAGGACATGGGACTCCATGGTAAATAGAATATAATTCTTTATTGACCAAATGTAATTGGATACAAAAGGAATTAGTGTTCGGTGCGTAAGCTCTCAGTGTACATAAAAGATATAAGTGACGAATCATGATCATAGTCATCATAAATACATTCATCATGAATCATAAAATACAACACTTAGTAATAGTCCTAGGATATGAAATAAGCAATCAAAATCATACTAGGAAACTAAATAAAACAATATAAATTGGTACAAGCAACAAGGTTATATTCATAACTGGAAAAGGAGATAGGTAATAGAAAGGATGAGAAGAATAATAGTAATACAGTCTTGGTAAATAGTTTGACAGTGTTGTGGGAAAAGAAATACGAATTGGCTGATTATATACCATCAAGACATTTTAAACTCCTGGTGACCACATGAAGTTCATGCAGCATGTCCTTGTTCCTATTATGCATGAATCTGGCTAAAACTATCTTTTCCTGCTTGCTAGTGGTTGGAAATGAGGAAAACAGGATTTCTCCTCCCCCTTCCAGCTGGAAGAACAGTTGCTGCTTAACAAGGGAGCAATTCTTGTGTTTTTTTTAATTTGCTAAGTTTCCATAAAGAGAACTGGATAAAAAGGAAGCCTCCAGGTGATTAAAAAGCATTGCAAGGGTCCACAACCAGATATGTAGTAATTGCACATTGTTAGTGTGCTTGTCTTTTATAAAAACAAATAATATTCCCATAGAGCTGTAATGTATCGCAAATTTCTTCTAAAAGAAATTCGATCAGCTTGGTGCTCAACATTATCACCTGATAATGTTACAAGGAAAAAGAAAAAGGGGAAAGAAAGAGAAAAAAGAATAAGTGTAAACATATAAAAATATTTTGACAAATATGATGAAGAATGAGAAAAGAACTATATAAGGAAGTGACTTCCTACCTTTATCACAATAAGTAATTCTTCACCGTAAGATTATGAATAATTATTTCATATTGCATGTCTTACCTATAGGCAAATCCATGAAGCCAATTTACCTATGAGTTTAGACTGCTAGAAGTAACCCTATTTTAAACTTGATCAAATAAACCAACTTTACTTTCCTACCTTTTACTTTTAACAGTCTTCCTTTTTGGTTCATTCAAATATTGTGGCAGGATTTAATTTCATTTTTCTTTGTCACATTGCACATAACTTTTCAAGGTTTTACCAAGCTTCTTTTGTAATTCAGTAGGAAAAAAATACTTCAGGTCACTCTCTTGGTTTATCATTTGTATTTTCCATTTAAATGTTAAAAGGAAAAAGTAATCAGTCAATTTGTTTTGTAGATCTAATGAAGAATCCTTTTCTAAGACAGAGGTCACCAACTGGTGGTCTGCAGAAAATTTTGGTTGTCTGCAGCACATCTGGTGGAGGAGCTGCTCCAGGAATGCCCAATGGGCCAGTGTTGTGACTAGAGCTGTGGAATATGGGCTTGGCCAGGCAGCTCATGGTGGGGCTGGAAATCTCCGCCATAGAGGGAGGTACATGAAACTTACAACTTTGCAGGTGGTGAATGTGCAAGAAGTAGTGCAGCCCTCACCACACGAAATGAGGTAATGGTGCTGTTGAGGCAAGGAGAGGGTGGCAGCGCAGGCGGGCCGGAGCAACAGGTGTTGGAAACCCGCTGTGGCTTCCTGTTGGCTGAACCCACCAGTGGCTGGCCCTGCCCCTTGCCATCCCCTCCCATCACTCCACGCCTGACCTGAGAAGGAAAGGGCAGAGGATGGAGACTTGCTCCATATTCCAGAGTGAGAGTGAAGTTCCATCTCTTGCTGGGTCTCGCGGGTGCTTCTTCTGCCCCTTGTTGGTGCTGCGTGCAACTCGGTCACTTGGGGAGACACAAAACTTCTTCTCAGCCCTAAGACACTGGCCCAACCCAGCCATTTCTCCCCACCGCTGCAGTTGCCGCCTTCATGGCCTGCATGCTGCTCTTGTAGCACAGTTAAATTTAGCGCACTTCACAATGGGGGAGACGGCATCACCTCCTCCTCCTGGAGCCCATTTGACACAGAGCCCCAGGTTGGGCAAGTGCCTTGGGGTGGAGAGCAAGTCATGCATCTCCCCGAGTGACCGGGGTATGTCTAGCATCAACAAAGGCTGAAGAAACACCCACAAAACCCAGAGGGTGCTGGAGAATCAGAATGAGAGTGAGAGTGAGATGACAGAGAACGCGAGCAGCAAAACACTCCAAAGCTGGATCAAATCAACTCATCTGAGGGCAAATGGCAAGGAAGGAAGGTGTGTCCTTCCCACGCAGCAGCGGCAGGCCATTCTTGAGCAGTGTTGCAAAGGCAAGACCACCGAGAGGACTATTGCACTAAAGGAGCCCTTTGTCAATCAGGCGGCAGGATTTCGGGGACAAAGTTGCAGCTTCTTTCATTTGTATAGACTAGAGTGAATCATTCTTCTCCCAGTCGGAAAAAAAAAATCTACTTGTAGGCCATGGACTCCAACACCGCTTCTCCGTACTTTAGAGCCCCCCCACTTTTAATGAGCCTCTCAGTTAATTAAGAGTTACGTTGGTGTAGGGAGTAACACGAAATCCGCAGGGTCAGGAGGGGGAGGGGAGATGTTTTACGAGGGTCATGTTAACTTAATGTGTAGGTGAGGGGGACCATATTAGTCTTGTTTCAGCTCTTAATAATCCTCTCAGCGGCCCTGGTGACCCCTGTTCTAAGACATTCCCTTGGTCTTCCGGTATCTTCTTTTGATACAACCACTATCTTGTCAAATAAAAGTTGTTCTATGTTTATAATTTCTTTTGGGCATAATCTATCCACAGAAGCAGAAATCAATACAGACGTTGATATTGTGGATACTAATTTCTCATTTCATTCTTGAAATGTCTTCTTCAGTATTTTCAGTATTATGACATTTCACATTTTATAGCCTTCCTTTTTTTTCTCTGTTATCTAAATATTTAGTTCCCTGGAGTACCCAGTTTTTAAATCATGAAATTATTTAATTCTGCTATATTTTTCCAAAACCAAAACAGATCTATTTTCCAGAAGAAGCTGTTTGTTCTTTATACATAATTCCATAGTCTTATTATAAACGTTTCAATATTCCAAATTCAGCTAAACTCTTAGTCCATTTATAATTTTCTACGATCATAATATATTTTGCTTTTTGCTATTTCAGATTCTTTAAATTTTTAATGTCATGATTAATTTTTTCTTTCATTCAGGATGACTCACTTGGCATTTTGAAACTTATTCCAAAGGTGTGTAACAGCTTAGAAGTACTGCAATTAACTAGCAATTTCTGAAAGTGATTAGAAAATGAGGATTGTGAACTTAGTGTCCTTCTAAAAGAGTCCACTGTGGTTGTGAGCAAGAGGGTGAATCCTGTCATCTTTTGACACTCTAACCCACAGAAAACCATTATTATATATTTATATGAAGAGAAACTGTCTGGAGCACATGTGAGCAATCTCTCAACCTCTGCTTATCAGGAGAGGTTTCCTAGAAAGTTTAAATATACAGAGATAAATGCATAGCAAACTATCTATGGAGATTCTCAGTCATCCAGGTCATGACTGAAGAAGCTTATTAGGTGAGAAACAAAACGTCTTCAAAGAAAAACCAGAAAGTCCAGTTGCCTCTTGAAAAAACACAACCATGACCTGGATGACTGAGAATCTCCATAGATACAGAGATGAATGGTTTCAAGGGGCCTTCTCAGCAGGGGTGGGATT